TCTTTATAAACAATTGTGTCATCAGAAATACACATAATCAAAATGCATCGAAAAAGCACGATATTATGTACTCCCGATAACATGCATGTAAGTTGTTAATGCAAATTGTGCGTTTGTCTTTAATCGAAAAACGCTTCAAATTGGAAGTCTTGAATTCTTGTTTATTCTGTGAAATACAAAGTAAACTGCATTGCCAACACTAGCCACACATAAATATTAATCATCGAAGAAGAAGAATGTGCACGTACGACATACAAACGCACAGGTACAGATGTTATAGACTTTTCATCAACATATTCAGTACATTTCGATGATAAAATGTTCGATAAATGATGATAAATACATTTCGATTTGACTTAGTGGTATCTGACTATGATGCTATAGTGCGAGTGAGACGGCTACCAGAGGAAGATATGTTGAATATATATACATATATATATATATATATACATTTAAATGTTCGTGTACTATATTCACATATATACTACATTGTATTTTACTTATTTATTCTCTACATTGTCGTACTTCTCTACATTTTATACTTATCGTAGATAGTGTCACCACTTTGCAATACATGGAGTTTTTGCCAATTATTGTATTATTAGATCTACAGATGTTTTAACTATGTATTGAACGAATCACGAATCCCAGATAAAATCTGATTTTTTTAATCAATTTTTTAATCAAGTTTGTTCTCTTGTTTTTGTTCGCATACTTCTACCGTCTGCCACAAGGAGGAGGCACCTGCGTGCAAAGCCAGTATGCACTTGCGTTCCACTTGTTTTAGTCAACTAGACACTCTCTCTCTACTTCACAGATATTCCGAGTAAAACTTTTTAAGAAAGATGGTTTGCATTCTCAAATATTCACCTGTTTTTAGAAAGCAAGGATAATTATGTAGGGGGTTTCCCTTTTAGCAAGTTTGCATATATCCTGGCCATAATTATATAGTGTAGGTCGTTGTGTTATTTAGTGAACGATTCATATAGAATCTGGAAACTTGTGATTTTTTACTTTCTATGGTCACACTGAACACAAAGCAACATGTTTCCAATTTTTTAAATATGTCTAGTGGCAAAATTCAAGATGGCGGCCAGCATATACCGAAAAAGCAATAAATCGTTATATTTGAACCAATTTATTCAATATATGCACAATGATAAGCTTATTATGGACATGCACTACGTTATTAGTCATCACAGCCGCTGTCATCCTCATCCTCGTCCTCATCATCACTGTCTGTCTCCTCATTTGCAACATTAGTGCATGATCTGTCGGCACCTTCACACTTGCAAAGCTATGTGCATGCCAGATTATTGGTCTTGCAAGAACACCGTCCACTGCATTTGCTGGCAATACATGAACACTTCAGGAGGTCCACGACAGCCTCTGGTGCTGGTGGAACTTTTGACGTCACAGGAACACAACGTCCGTCATCTAGTTGTTTCCATCCCAAAGATAATGGATCTAGAACACTTGGATTTGCTACTGTGTCCTGCACCCAAATGTTAGCTTGAAAGTGTGCTCGCAGAATGTGTTCAGTTATGGATCCTTGAGTTGGAAGTAGTTTCTCTACACCCTGGTTGCCCTTTAGTTGCTTGAACATATGCCACCGGAGTGTTTTAGCTGATTCATAACCAGGTTTGTAGAGCTGACACACGAACTTTTCACAACCAGCCAACACCTCCGGAGATGGATACCAACACCAAGCCCAGCTAGTGCATGGATTACGTCATCACTAGCCTTCATGAAGAATTTGAAGCAAATAGGCTTTCCCTTTCCCTGGATGTGGTATCACAACCAGTGAGCGCGTGGAATTCAAGCTGCTGCACGTTCTGGGCCAATGGCCATGTAGATAGGCTT